GGAGTGTGTACTGACCACAGCCTGCACTGGAGTGTGAACTAACCACAGCCTGTGATGGAGTGTGTACTGACCACAGCCTGCACTGGAGTGTGTACTGACCACAGCCTGTACAGGAGTGTGTACTGACCACAGGGTTCTATTTGAAGAGAGGTTAACCTACCAGCATGGTGCTGCAATGGTCCAGCTCTGGACCTACAGCCCTCCCTCACAGTGGCCTGACCCGCAGGTTTGAGCAGCCTGATGTTTCAGAACCGGACTGAAACGTCACTCAGTGCCCAGCCTGGTCAAGCTACATGTGGGAATCGTCCATCTGTCTTGTAACAAAGCCACTCTACTTCCCCACCACAAAACCACACTGACTCACAGGTAGTGAGTTTATCCTGAGAATAATCAATATTCTTTTCCTGTTACAAAGACTGAAAGAGACGGCCATTTAAGTCTGGCTGAATGTATGAGGCTACAGATTAAGAACATATTAGACAGATGAAATTATTTTTGCTCACAGCGCCATTGCAGGGTGCACAACATTTACTGTGGCATCTCTGCCTCTCTGTCTAGAAATGCTGTATCCATTTTGTGGGGTGCATATTCATGGCAGACTTGTTGCTTCTATACAAGGCTTTTAAAAACAGAACTGTGGGGACAAGGAGTTCAAACAAACTCAGTCTTGACGGTTCAGTTGCAGGGTGAGTCGCTGCAGTGGACGTTTCTCCTGGGGCTGCTGGTGCAGTCAGGCAGCAGCTCTGCTTGCACAAGCTGCAGGGACTCTGGGGTGCCGACTCCCCCTTCTTCAGGAGATACTGAGACTGAAGTTTTGCACTTGAGAACTCATCGGCATAACCATTTCCATGACAGGTTTGGCGATGAAGTATTTCGGCTCCAGCACAGACTTGCAGGCTTTTCACTGGTTTCATTCCTTGAATTATTTACTTGTCACCTGAAGCCCCTGCAGGCTGATTCCTTTCTCTCGCCACTGCTCTTGGTGTTCTGGGAGGAGCTCCCCCTCCCTGCCCTGCCCTGCCCTCCCCCCGCCAGGACGGGATATAAGCAGCAGCTGCAGACCCTCCAGCTCCAGTCACCCTCCTCCTGCAGCAGAGCAGAGCCCAACGACAGCACCAGCCCTCAGCTTCGAGATGTCTTTCGTCAGCAGCCGCGGTTACGCGTCCTCCGGGAGCTCCTTCCGGGCCTCCTCTGGCTCGTCCCTGTCCGGGGGCGGCCGGATCAGCTCCGGCCGGGCAGCCAGCATGTATGGAGGCTCGGGAGGCTCCGGCACCCGCATCTCCAGCTCCTCGGCCTCCTTCTCCATGGCCTCCAGGGGCGGCGGCGGCGGCGGCGGCGCTGGAGCAGGCGCTGGCTACGGCTGGGCCGGCCTGATGGACGGCAGTGCGGCGAGCTCCGGCGACTCGTCCACCGCGGGCCTGAACGAGAAGGCCACCATGCAGAACCTGAACGACCGCCTGGCCACCTACCTGGATAAGGTGCGCACGCTGGAGGCCGCCAACGGCGAGCTGGAGCTGAAGATCCGCCAGTTCATGGAGCAGAAGACCTCTCCCTCCGGTCGCGACTACAGCGCCTACTACGCCACCATCGAAGACCTGCAGGGCAAGGTAATGCACAGCTGGTACCACAGTCGGCACCTGCATCGGGCAGCCTGACCGCACAGCGCCGGGCTTAGAGAAAGAGAAAGACCCTTTAACACGATTTCTTGGCGTGCCTGACAGGTATTGATTTGATAAGACAACAGACAATGGTGTCGTAGTAAAAGTCTCAATATCAGTGCAGACCGGAAGCCGCCCAGATCCTGTGTGGCATCCTGGGTAACTATCCACAAGCAGCATTGAGCCCCAGATTGCCACAGGCCTCTAGGGTTGAACATGCCGAGGGTTTGGAACTGATTGTTGCAAAGAAAAAGGATTCAAAAGCACAAGAGAATTTCATTTGTAGCAGTGGTTGTCAGTAATTGCTAGGTGTGGCACTGTCCATAGTTAACAGGTCTAAGGTGTTACTGCCCTCCCTGTCCTCTCTCCCTGTCACTAACCTGCACTGAGCCACAGCAAGTGGAAGACTACACAAGGAGCAGAGAAGGTGAAATCCTAATCAGAGTAATCTGAGGCATGACACCTTACTGGGTCCATGCAAAGCACATGCCTGCTGTAGACAATGGGAAAACTACAAAACGTGTGCTACTGTAAAATTTCCAAAGGCCCGAGGCAGTCATGATCATCTGTATCATACCACACAGCCTCCTGTGCTCGGTTTCACAGAAAGAAAAAAAGAGGCAAAGCAAATCCTTTATCTAAAGTAGTATCTAAAGATGAGTCAATGCATCTTTCTCTGAAAGAGAAATAAACCACTCAGACCGAATGGGACTTGAGCAGAAGCAGATGTTAAATACTGTGGCGAGACGGTCTTTCAGGCTGGAGGTCATTGAGCTCACCTGGACTGCAGGAGAGCGAGCTCTGGGTCAGTGTGCGACTCTCTCTTCAGTGACGGGTTGGTCCTTTATGACCCCTCCCTGCCCATGAGAAACCTCAATGCAAGTCCCGATCGGCCTCCCCAGCAGCTGGCATGGCACAATGCCAGTCCCCCAGCCCTCCTGTCTGCAGGCTGCGCTGGGTTGTGGCTCAGACTCCTGAGGTACCCCAGTATGCGCCCACGCCCTCCCAGTTGTGCCAGCTGGCGCACTGTTATCATCCTTATTTGCATGAACACAGCAGCACAGGCCGTTCCTGTTCTGTGGGCCGCAGTGGCATTGCAGCTCCCTGTCCCCTCCTGCCACCCCTTAGGGCAAACTAAACTATCCTAGAGTGAACAGCATTTCAGGGGCACAAATCCTGAATTAGCATTGTCCCCTAAACCCCGACCAGAGACTTGCAAGACGAGACAGGCAGTCAAAGTGAACCTGATTAAAACCTGCGTGTTTTGTTAAATCATATACTTTTATTTTCACATTCTGCAGCTGTGCAATGCATACACTCACACCCTGGAGCAGACCCCAGTCTGATCACTGGCTCTAGTTATGCTGCTATCACACCGACTGTATCATTCCTGCGTCAGAAGGAAGGGTTAACTGTGGTTAAAGCACAAACTCAGCAGATCTTTTAAAAAACTGTATTCAGAACATGAGGAGAAAAATCTGTTCTGAAATGTGTCCCTGCTGCAATTTCTCCCCCCTTTGCAGATCCAGGAATCTACCCGTATCAATGGAGGCATTTACCTGAGCATCGACAACGCCAAGCTGGCAGCCGATGACTTCAAGTTGAAGTGAGTTTCACCCCTCCCTTGCCTCGCTGGGCGTTGCACCTGTGAGAACACACGAAAAACTCAACATCAGAGGCCGGGCCTTAAAATCTGTACAAAAAGAGACAGGCAGGAAAATAGATGCCTAGGAGTTCAGTTTGTCGGGAGCTGGATTCTGCTCCAGCCTCTAATTTTCCTGTCCTCTGCATAATTCCTGGGTGTGTGTAGCCTGGGGGGAACAGGGCGCGTGTCTCATCCGCACTGACACCTCCAATTGGGAGCGTAGCCAAGCCGCCAGGCAGAGCTCACGTTTGCAGCCGGGTTAATGGTTATCACGTTTGCTCTTCGTGAGATGACATAGTGCTTCATGAGCTAAGCAATGCGGTTTCTACACAGTATGAGCGCTTGTATGCACAGCACAGAGAGAACCAGCACTGTCGGAAGGCATAACTCTTCTGTAGCAGATATTACCTGTTGATCATGCTGCATACACTAATACTAATCACACGCCAGTTAAATAACTGAGTATCTCGCTACATAAGGTGGTATTTTACAGAGGTGACACCTCTGTTAGTCACACTCAGCAATAGCCCGTAGGGTTTGGGATGCAGATCAAAACAGAACTTGAGCAAATCTTGAGTTCTTCTCCTTTGTACCAGTAGATTTACAGACAAACTGCAGTCACTGTCATGTGATTCATAAGCATACTGTAGTGTAAACTGAGCAAGGCGGGGAGGAGAGGTGTGCACACACCCAGACAGCAGAAGAGCAATATCGTATTGTAGGAAGTATGTTTGTGTTCAAACTGATACTTCAGCTCTGCAAGTCCATTAGATCTGCTAGAACTGCAGGGCCAAACCCCAGTTTGCAGCCCTAATCTGTCCTTCCTGCCCCCAAAGCTGTGTCTGTGACAGTGCTGGTGTCTCCGTGTGGCCTGCAGGTATGAGAACGAGCTGTCCATGCGCCAGTCCGTGGAGGCCGACATCGGCGGGCTGAGGAGAATGCTGGACGAGCTGACGCTGGCCAGAGCCGACCTGGAGCTGCAGATCGAGGGCCTGAAGGAGGAGCTGGTGTTCCTCAAGAAGAACCACGAGGAGGTGGGTCTGGGGTGTCCTGCTGATCTTAAACCAACCACACCCCGTCTGCAGCCAAACATGGCTTTTGAAGAAAGTATGACCGTCTGTAACAGGAGTGATTACAAATGGTTTTCAAGAAGACATTAACCCCATAGCTTGAGTGTCAACGTCCTGTACTCACTGAGCATTTTAAATGATGCAACTACTTATTGTACATCTGTACTGAAGTGCATTACTTTTGATGCAATCAGTAAGGTAAAGGCTTGGTGCTGTGTCTTGCTTCAGTTTGCCTTGGCACAGCTGCAGGAGCGCCAGTGGGCTCTGCAGAGCGTGCACTGAGCGGAGTGCAGGAGGGGGTGAGCTTGTGGCTGATGAGGCCAGTGCACGCAGCACCAGGTGCAGGGCACTGACCGGCCCATCCCCTGTGTTTCAGGAGCTGCAGGCCGCAAGGACGCAGATGACCGGCCAGGTGAACGTGGAGGTGGAAGCTGCGCCACAGGAGGACCTGAACAAGGTCCTAGCTGAGATCCGGGAACAGTACGAAGGTCTGGCAGCCAAGAACCGCAGAGAGCTGGAGGCCTGGTTCCAGACCAAGGTAAGCCCAGTGGTTCTCCATCACCGCTCACCGGAAAACTTTCCTGATTACCAGCAGCTCTTCCACCTGATGTCACACAAAATCCCTGCTTTTCTTTCCACACTGGCAGGTGTGAAGATTCAGAAATACATTTGTAACAGCCAAAGCAGTGGAATCCTATTCATTTCTCAATGGCCGTGTGTTTTGCACAGAGGCGTCTCTCTCACCCCTCACTGCTGTTTCTCCCTCCTGCCCCGCAGACCGAGACGCTGACCAAGGAGGTGCAGTCGAGCACAGAGACCCTACAGACCAGCAAGTCAGAGATCTCAGAGCTGAGACGCATGCTGCAGGGGCTGGAGATCGAGCTACAGTCTCAGCTCAGTATGGTGAGTCTGCAGGACACCACACACCGCGGCTCAGCTCAGACTGAGGCCACGTCTGTGGCACGTCTATAATGCTCTGTGTAGATATGCCAGCGTGTGTTTGTCACCACAAACTCTTAACTCCCCTCTAGCTGGAACTATGTGACAGTGTACCATAGACTGAGCATATATTTTCTCATGTTTCCACCAGATATTTATTTCTGCTTAGTTTACTCCAGTTTGTATCCTGCTCTATCATGTTTTTCCATTTCATCAGGCTTCAAGACCTAACTGTCCCTTTGTGTCCCACAGAAACAATCTCTCGAGGGCACGCTGGCAGAGACGGAGGGTCGGTACTCCGCGCAGCTCATGAGTCTACAGATGCAGGTCACCAGCTTGGAGGAACAGCTGATACAGCTGCGAGGAGACATGGAGCGCCAGGGCGCTGAATACCAGATGCTGCTGGACATCAAGACGCGGCTGGAGATGGAGATCGCGGAGTACCGGCGCCTGCTGGACGGAGAAGGGGGTGGCAGGTGAGGACCACAGGGGTGGAGGTCACAAGCAACAGGGGATGGGCCTCATCGTTCCCCCATTGTATCAGAGCATGTCAAGCCTCTGAGGAGATGACCCTCACAGTTCCGGTGTGTTGATAGAAGTAAAAAACCTCCAGTTCAGTGAGAATTCACACGTTAGACAGTGATAGGCATTCTGAATGAAGTTCGCACACACCACACCCTGAGGTACTGAGGTACTGACCGTTGGCTCGTTTGTGCTCCAGTGTCGTCCACAGCAAAGAAACCAAAAAGGTCAGCTCGTCCCAAGACAGCAGCTCGTCCACCAGCACAACGCGCAAGGTGGTGACCATCGTGGAAGAGGTGGTAGATGGGAAAGTGGTCAGCTCGTCCTCCCAGGAGGTGAAGCAGAAGCTGTGAGAGACACCCTGGAGCAGCACAGCACTGACCGCTGCCCCTCCTGGCCAGAGAACACCACCGGAAATGTCATCTGTGCGCTGAAACTACCGCAATAAAAATGTTCTTTGGGTGTTGAAAGTCGATCGGCGTGTGTTTACTCTGCTCCTTTCCTGTTCGATTTTTTGAAAGCTGGTGCCTTGTCAGGGTTTTCGCTCATGGAAAGGTACCATGGTATTCAGAGCAAACAGAGTACAAAGATCAGACTGCAGAGTACAACTGGCATGATGGGATAGCGCAGGTCCACATAATGTGTGTGGAAGAGTGCAGATCATATTTTTAGTTTGCGTTTTCAATTCAATTCAATTCAATTCAACTTTATTTGTCATTATACTTACACGGGTGCATAGTATAGTGAACAGTGTTTCTCATTAGTTACTCAGGTGCAGTATATAAATAGAACAGAAGACAAGACAATTCATTCAGATGTCCTTATATTTCCAAATTATCCCCTCTCTTTATTTTATAAAAAAAAACAGATAGATGGTACAGGCAGGTTAAAACCACAGAAAAATGCAGGAAATCCACGCAGCTCTACAAAAGTCAGCAAAGAGTGTCAGAACAGCAGCTCCACTTCAGAGCAATGACTCCTTTCTCCTCTTACAACGACATGAGCTCCTTTCTCTACAGAAGGAGAAGAAGGGGGTTTGTTCCATGTCTTTTCCCTGCTGATTTAGGGGTCCAGCTCGGCACATTGAGTATTCAGCTCAATATCAGTAGATTTATATGGAAGCTTGCAAGCCATGTTTACTAACCTATCTGCTGATACTGGTGACAGCTGGCAAGTAATATAAATGTGTTTTATACCTGTTTTGAATAAAACCTACAAACACCTCAGCTAACAGTGTTGATCTCCCAGCACCCAGCATGGGAGAAATCTATTAAAATTAACACAGTGTGCTGGCAGTGCAGCAGAATGTCATGTAAGTATATGGGCCCAGATATTTTTATTCAGATCAAATCTACTATGATTCCCATGTTAAGTAAGTGGGCTTGACAGCTACAGGCCAGTTGCTCTCACATCTCTCCCAGTGAAGAGGCTGGAAAGAACAGCGATCCCCTGCAGTTGGCACACAGAGTTGTTCAGTCTGCCCTCTCAGCAGCTTGATCAAACAAAGACATTTTTGTAAGGAGCTTACTTTGTTCTCTTTAATACAAGACAACAACCTTCGCTTGCACAGAAACTCTCAGCAAAGAACTTCAGTTTGAGCAATGACGTGACATGATTCTTAGCAAACAGGTCTCAACAGGTCAGACTGGACGAATCATTATGTGAGTAAGTATTCTCGATACTTCCACTGGGTTACTGCAGCGCTGTGTTTTGACCCCTTTCTGCACAGTTTGTACACTAACGATTGTAAGAGCGAACACACAGGGTGACCTCTCATGAAGTCTGCTGATGACTCAGACTGGTCAGCGAATGGAAGGACAGAGAAAACCATCATGGGTCATTCTAAACCATTTTATTCAATGGTACGATGAGTTCTTTTTGAAGTCAAATGCCTTGAAAACAAAGGAACCGGATATTGATATTAGGAAAAATCCAACCTACATTAATCAACAGTCAGACTGCGGAAATTATCAATGACAGCAAGGAGGGAAGAAAAATTATGACACCGTTTACAAAAAAGGACAACTCTTTTTTCTGAAGAAACCCGGCTATTTTAGGGTTGATAGAACTATTGTAACTTTTCTGTATTTACTGGCAGCATCAGTTCTATTTATTGTAATAGGATGGGAAAATTAGTGAAAATAAATAAAAAAACAGCTAGGGCAAATCAAATCATTTTAAATAAACTCTACAAACAAAGGGTTGTAAAAAAGGCCAGGGGCACTATGGAGTACGTGCCGCACCCTTCTGCTGTGAATTTATACTCCTCCCATTCTGAGTTACTTAGTCGGAATTTTGAGATAACATAGCGCGTTTTTTTTACTCCCTGGCGGAAACGGGCTTCCATAGGGAGACGATAAAGTTAGATTCAGGACATCTTTTATCCCCGGTGCAAATATCTCTCTCGAATAATGTCAAGTAATTAATTACATTGATAGTCATATTTGTCTTTGTCTTGTATTGGACTGAAACAGATATCCTCTTAGAATAAGTTTTGGTTTACAGACTTTGACTTTGTTACAGCGCCGCCGGATTTGACCTATTAATACTGCGTTAGTCCTCTAGAGGGCGGTGCAGGGCTTTGCATTTTCACGGGGTTATTAGAGCAATCGGCTCCAGCTGCCAGCGAGCTGATTTCGCTGTATAAAAGACGTTTATAAATAAGCGCGCTTTTCTATGGGTGGGTGAGGTGAGGATTAGTTTGGTAGGGAAACTATTTAAAATTAGCGGTTCAGACTTGTGTGAGACGACAGTAATGATAGACCGAGGCTGTGGCGGGAGCGGTAGTTTTGCATGTTGATTTAGTGTCCCTCGCCAAACCGGATCAGCCCGCAGGACGGGTTAATAGGGAGTATTGGGACCCAACAGAAAGGTGGGAAGGGTACGGTCCTCGCTGGGACTGTGAAAGGTTAAAAGCATCGGGGTCTGTCGGCCTCGGTTCACTTTCACGCCTCCCCGGGCTGCAGTGGGTGGGCGTGGATCTGCCACAGCACGCGACCTGGCGAGGAGATGGTGCTACTCGCCTCTCGGCGCCGACTACCGGAACGGGAAACAGGAGGCCTTTCGAGAAGACCCTGGGACGGCCCTATAGCCAAAGCATATAGCAGGCCGTTGGGCAGAAAAGCGACCGTCTGGACAAACAGTGGATCTCGGGGCCAATGCAGAGTCACTATAAAGAGACTCGAGAGCCGCCACCTTCAAATATAAAGTTCTGAAGCCTTTATTACAAAACTGCATTACCATACAGAAGAGCAAGTAACAACTGAGAATTTGGCTATTGCCCTGAAAGGCATGCATCTAAAAGTAATAATCTCGATGAGGTGAGAAGCTGTATAATCTTCTGCCAGAAGGGGGCGCCCAGACGCCACTCTAGAAGCCTCAGAGCGGAAAACGCGACAGGAAGGTGGTGAGGAGGGAGGTACAGGTCTTCAGATGTGCTCGTAGTACCTCTATAGACAGACCCCCGACAGTAACTAAACATTACATGGGTAACTTAAATTGGGG